CTGGGTTGCCCCCACAAAAGCTCTACGCGATCGCGAAGAAGAAAACTCTGCAACAGCTGAAGCTCAAAAACCTGCAACTTTTCCAAAGCATGAAATGGTCTGATTGACCACCCGAAACTCACTCGAGGCCCCCGAGACCTCAACCAAACATACCAACATATCCCATAACCTCATTCAAACTTGTTCCAACCTTCGGAACGCTCAAACAACATCAAAACATCAAATTCACATCGGATTCAAGCCTAAGAATTCCAAACTCTTCTAAATTACCCTTTTGATAAAAAATCCAACCAAACCACGTCCAAATGACCTGAAATTTTGCGCACACATCCCAAATGACACCACAGAACTACTGCAACTCTCGGAATTCCATTCCGACCCCTGTATCAAAATCTCACCTATCAACCGGAAATCGCCAAAAATCCAACTACGCCAATTCAAGCCTAAATCTATTCCGGACCTCCAAAACTCATTCCGATCATGCTCCTAAGTCCCAAATCACCTCCCGGAGCTATCCGAACCATCGGACCTCACATTCGAGCCCTCTAACACATAAGTCAATATCCGGTTGACTTTTCCAATTTAAGCTCCCTCAAAAGAGACTAAGTGTCTCAAACCTTACCAAATCCTTTCCGAACCCGAGCCAACCAACCCGATCACATATAGAACCGATAAACAAAGCAATCAGAAGCAGAAATGGGAGAAATGGAACGGTAACTCATGAGACGACTGGTCGGGTCGTCACATGTAATTAAATTAAATTAAATAAAAAAGGGCGAAACGATTTCCCTTTCAGTTGATTTTATTCAACGATTGACCAAAATATTAATAATTAATAAATAAATTATTCATTTTTGTTAATAAATTACATGAACTTAGATCAATCAAAAAAATGATATTTCTATACATATGGAATTATTCGGCTTAATCAATTTGTCCATTTAGATTTATCTAGGTAGAATAATAAGAAAAGGTAAAGTTCAAAAGAATTTACAAAAAAAGGTTTTTTTTGAGTATTTTAGAAAGAGTAGATTAGGAGAGGAAGGTATCTGTAATTCAATAACTATAAGACAATCCTTCAAGATGTTTCGATGCTTGATTCTCGAATAGGATTGAATCTAAGATGAATTCTTGGTTTACGTTATGGGAAAAAGACATGTATATGTGATATTAGATATTGACTAGTGCTAGTTATATATGAAATGAACTAAAGATATATTTTACTACTCTAGGGGATTCTAATAGACTATAAGTCCCTACGGCCCCTTGTGATTGTGAATTGAATGAATAAACAGATGAAACAAGAAATAATTCAACTAACAGTTCAAACCAAGAAATGGAAGAACGAAAGTCGTATGGGTTCACAAAGACTCTGTGGCTAAAAAGTAAAAAAGATATATCGAAGTAGTTCTGATGATTCAATAATCTTATTACTTCAATCCGAAGTTCTTAGTTACTTCGGCTGGATGAATCCTAGCGAGGTAATAACCAAGAAATATATATATTTATATATATAAATTAGGCAAAATACTTACCTCAAAGAAGCTAGACAGATACTCTATGATGACCTTCTCGAGTGAAAAACCTCCGGACGGCTCAAATCTAGCCAAAATAACTTCAAATCATAAATAAAACTCATAGGAAATAATTTCGGATAATAAAGCATCGATCTTTAATTAAAACTAAAAAGCCAATCCCGGGCTAGCACCTCGGAACCTGATAAAATTCACAAAACTCGAATACTCATTCCAATATGATTCCATCCATACCAAAATTATCAAATTCCGATATCGAATAGCCCTTCAAATCCTCATTTTACATTTGAAAGATTTTTACAAAATTTCCCATTTTCTTCCCTCTCAATTCACTAATTTAACGATATAAATAAGTATGAAATTATGAAATGTAATCAATTTCTGATATAAATTACTTAACTCAATCGAATAAGTGAAGAACCCCTCAAAAATTGCTCAAATTCAAGGTCTACAACTCAAAATATGATAAAAATGATGAAACCCCCGTTTTTTGAAACCTCTCTAGGCAAGTCGCATTTGACACCTGAGATTTATAAATTACTTTGACACCTGTTACTTATAAATCGCATTTGACACCTGGGACTTATAAATCGCATTTGATACCTGGGATTTATAAATCGCATTTGACACCTGGGACTTATAAATCGCATTTGACACCTGCGATTTGCCTCTGTTCCCTCAAACACCAGAAACCAGCAATCTTTCCCAACTCGAAAATTGGCATAACTCCCTCGTACGACCTCGAAATGCGACGATTATTGTTGTTATGGTTTTGTAATTACGATATGGATCTAATGGTTCAATCGAATCATAAATAAAAGGTCGTTTGCACAATGTGATACCCTTTATGCCAAAAGAAACAAAGCCGAAATATCAAATAAGAGCGTGGCACAATCCAAGCCCATCTAAAACTCACCCGAAGCCCATGTGACCCCAACCAAATATACTAACAAGTCCAAAAATATTATACGAACTTGCTCGAAGCCTAAAATTGGCTCAACACTAGAATCATGAATCGTGCATCGATTCAAGCCTAAGAAACTTATGAACTTCCCATTTTCAAAACTAATGTTGATTCATACCAAACCAACTCCGATTGACTTCAAATTTTGCACACAAGTCATAAATGACAGTATGTACCTATTCCAACTTCCGAAACTGGGATCCGACCCCGACATCAATAAAGTCAACTCCCGGTCAAACTTTCCAAAATCTTCCATTCTTTCCAACTTTCGCCAATTCATGCCGAAACGACCTACCGACCTCCAAATTCAAATCCGGACGCACACCTAAGTCCAAAATCACCATGCAAAGCAATTGGAATCATCAAAACGCTATTTCAGAGTCGTCTACACATAAGTCAAACTCCGGTCAACTCTTACCGCTTAAGGCTAAAAAATAAGAATCCTTCTTTTAAATTGATTCTGAATCATCCGAAAACCAAACTCGACCACACATACAATACGAAGCTTATCGAAGCCTTAAACCACCAAACAGAGCGCTAATTTTCAAAACGACCAATTAGGTTGTTACATAAGCCCAGGGCTCGGCTAAGTAGTAAAAATTTGAAACATGTGAATTGAAATACATAAAGTGAAAGTCATATAAATCTCCCATATCAAGGTGCCTCGACTAAGAGCGGGACTTACAAATCATTTGAATTGAAATGACTTGCAATGTTTTTTTAACTTTGAAGTTAAATACTACTAGAATATAGGTTACTTGCATTGCCCTGGAATAAGAAAAAGGATCATAAAAAGTTACTACCATAAGTAGGGGGATAGTTATTCATATGGTTATCAAACTATCCAAAATTATGGACTAAAGTTACTTTTCTTTCATTTGTAAGGAACGTCACACAGATGGTTACTCAATCGAAATTATCAAACTTTTCGATGAAAAAATGTGACGTAACAGTCCACATGGATTTTTAATATTTTTGGACCAAATAAAATCAAACTATAAAATGCAATTATGTTGTAAATGCATCTCTCTTCTTCTTATCAAAAGCATATCCCTTTTTTTTCTTCATAATTTTACTTTAGTTTTATAAAATAATAATGAGTACGAGATTAAGGACTAAAGACTAGAGTAACCCGTGTTCCTCTTTTCTCAATAACCTGTATACTTTTTTTAGGATTTTTCTTCTACTTTTTATAAATAATAATGGGTACGAGATTACGAGATTAATACTAGAGTGAAACCATGAAAAAAAATATTTTTTATAAGAAAAAGAGAGATGCAATTGCAACAGGGATCTGTTTTAGTGTTTGATTTTATTTAGCGGGTAAATTTTTATTTTTAGCAGGTTAGGTTGGGTGTATGGTGGATTTTCTATATTTTATTTGGATGTTAATTATTTTATTTGATCCAGAAAAATAAAAATTTATATGGACTGCCACATCATATTTTTCCATTGGAAACTTTAATAATTCCGGTTAAGTGATTATTTGTGTGCAATAGAAATAATTAAATGACTTTTTTAAAAGAAAAGTGACTCAGTTTATAATTTTGGATAGTTAAGCTATAAGCTTAAAGTAGGTATGTATAGCCCAAAACAACATGACAGAGTTACGTTGTAATTAGCAGGCAAAAAATTTAGCTGCCTATCAAAAAATTGCAGTACCTAAATTAGCACAGTACTTTATATATTAATTCTACATTGGGTGATGTTGGAGGGAATTGCTTCATCTCCTTCTGTCATTTTCATTCCTCGATGATTGTAGTGTTCATAAGTCCCAGCGAATATTTTCTTGAGCACGCTTCTTGTTTTGTTTTTCTTTAAAGAGTGTAAATAGGAAATGGGAGAGCCACTTTTTGGATTACACCTCTCCATCTTACTCTTTTATTGTCTATAAATTTAGAGGTTTGACCTCATTTTTCAAACATTGAAAATTCTGAAATTTCTCTCATTTTCTTTGCATTGTTTTCCAAAACAAAACATAAGTGTTTTACCACTATACCTGTGAGTAATATATTCTACTAGGAGGGGATTAAGTTCCTTAATCACTGGGCTCAGATTTGATTTTGTTCTTTCAATGCATTTCTGTTTCTGTTTTACTTTGCAGAATTTTCTGTTTTGAACACAGTTTATCAACAATCTTAAAGAACTTAAAGCATTGGAAGAATAAAATTAAATTCGAGCCCACTGATTAAGGAACTTAATCCTTCCTAGTAGAACAGATTACTCACACTGGTATAATGGTACTTCAAACCCCAATGTTTCAACGAACGCAATAAGGCGGAACAAATCACACATGACACTTATGTTTTGTTTTAGAAAACAATGCAAAGAAAAAGGGAAAATTTTCAATGTTTGAAAAATGAGGCCAAACCTCTAAATTTATAAACATTGAAAGGGTGAGATGAAGAGGTGCAATCCACAATATGCCTCTTTCATTTCCTATTGACACACTTAGTAGATTAATGCATGTTACTCAGAGAGACAGATTACATGATAAGCTATGATAGTTGAACTCTCTCTCTTGAAATAGTTAAATAAATTCATATACAGCACCTTAGTGCATAATGACCAAAGTCAAGGATGTAATACATACGATATCAACAACAACTAATAATCGAAGTCATGGCACTTCTTGGGTTTCAATCATACAAGATCTTGTACATCAATTTCTTCAACATTGGGTGATGCTCGACGGTATTGTTTTATCTCATTCATCATTTGTCTTCCCGGCCGAAGAAGGAGACATGAATAATTCCAAATGAAAATTTGCTTATGTAATGGTGCAGATGCTAGTATAAACCTCACAAATTCCATTTCCATCTCAAGACCACCAAAAGTACTCATATGTACTCTTTGAAAAGAGAATAATTGGGCTCGTAAAATTGTACAACAGGTTCCACATTATTGTCCGCTGACTGTAAAGGAATTTCGGGAAGAATGGTTAGGCGAGTTCAGTGGAAATTCAGTCACTTTCAAGAGAAAATAGGAGAGTACTTACACATCTAATAGTAAGCTGTTGTAATTTAGGGCAGTTTGTAATCGAGTAAACAGCAACCGAAACCTCCTCAACATTTCTGAAAGACATGTCCGTTTCCAGAATTTTGACATTGTTCAGAGCAGTCGGGGGATTTTCTGGCAGACCTCCCATGGTCAAGTACTAGAAGCACGTCAAAAATTAGTTAAAGATACGAATTAGATACATCATTTGGTTATGATATGTACCAAGTTTCACAAGACCATAATAAATATTATTACACATTTCCATTACCTCCAATAACCAACCACGTATATCCAGTTCCCGTAGGGAAGGTATGCAATGGAAGAACTTCATAAAATTTGAACAAACAGGAGATGCATCAGCCGAAACACGTGAATTGAGAGACAGGATAACCCTACCAAGCACAGGGGCATTCTTGAAGCAAAAGGACTTTGATTTTCCTCTAAACTCAAAGAATTTGAGATTAGGGGCATCAATTTCAAGGGTGTCAAAGTCAGTGCACCAAAGCAACCTTAATCGTTCAAGCAATGGGCATTTAGAGATGAGATTCCAAAATATTGATGGAACAAAAGTGACTCTATCAAAATCAAGATTAATAAGCTTCTCAAACCCTTTGAAACCGGGTGGAGGGTAAAACAAGCATTTATGAATTTCCAGATGCCTTAGCTGCTGGAATGTAAAAAGGTGAGAAGGTAAATGATATATGTTGCCTGACCATATGTGAAGGGTGAATTCCTGGATATTTTTCTTTGACAAGAAGAGTATCCAGTGATCAATATCAGGACAACTTTTCAAGTTAAAGCCTCCGAGTTTAAACTTCAGTATTGGTCCTTTATGGAGTAATAGGACTTGGTAAATGATCGTCTTAGCTTCTTGATAATGTGCAAATGACCCGAAAAAGTCATAACCAAAATCAAGTTCTTGACGTGTTGCCCATTTGTACCTCCAGTGTTTTGACAAGATACTGGTCTTCACTGCATCTTTCAAAGGCAAGCAACCTAAAATTTCATCCAGGACATTACATGGCAGGTTGCTAATTGTATCAACATCAGATCTCCTAGCACTCTTCATGGTCTAATACTGATGAGTTTGCAGGCAATTCTGAAAATAAAAATCAGGGAAATTAACAAATAGTACCAAGGAAATGCACTTGTCAACTTCCATAGTATTCAGTATTCAACCAATAGCTATTTGAAGAAAATTCAAATTGTTATGAAAACACATTTCAGTAATGTATCCACAGCTTGTATATGACTAGTAGTTCAATGTTTCCAACTGCATACGATTTTACCATTTTCTATATATTGGAGAGACAAAATAATGATACAGACGAGAGTATCAGGAAAGAACAGGAGGACCATAAACTTCACATGGAGAGAACACGGTTAGTATCAGCAAAGCAAGACCATTAACTATCTCCTACTAAGGTTTCATTATTCTTCCAGATATTCAGCCCATCTAACCTGTTGAAATTTTATATAAGGATTTTCTTCCTCGCATTAGCCAGCGTTCCTCAGTTTTTGTACTTGAGGAGAAGAGCTGTTACTCTATTTTCTTTCCAATTAAACTCATAGTTCACCATACATTTCCCAAATAGTGATGAGCTTTCGGCATTAACGCATAACTGCCCCTCTATCTAATCACGTAGTTTTAATAGATAAAAGATGGAGTATTCAGGAGAGCAAGCACAATGAGTTGAAACATATTAGAAACAAAAGCTGATCGGAGCATGCCAAAGAAAGATGTTATGCAAGATTAAGTTCATAATCTAATATTCTCGACTTATTTTAAGTTGTTGAAGATTGCACACTTGCCGATTTATGGAAATAATTCACTCTACTTGAGATGATATAAAAGTTATATAGTGTACTTAATATAAATTGGGCCAGAAAAGTTCATTTAGCCATTCAATTGCGAGGAACATCTGTTCTCCTTTCTAAACAGGTCAAACAAAACACACCAGGGGAAAATTCACATTAACAATTTGATTAAAATAAATATTGAAGAATGTGGATGATGACCTGCTGCAAGGTAAGCATTGAACAACTAATGCTTCCCCAACATAGCATCAAAAAAGTAAATGTCGATCATGTTTATTTAAAAAGTAAATGTCGATATACAAGCATTACCAGCCTAGAAAAAATCAGAATGAACAGCTTTGTAAACTTAATGTTAGAGCAAGAACGCAGACAAACTTGATTGCTTTCTGAATAGGACAATAACAAAAAAATACAATGTTTCATGTTTTCTGATTGACGTTGTTAAACATCCAAAAATTTACCAATGGAATTCTTGCAAAAATTTTAACAAATCAATTGGTAAGCAGAAATTAGGCTCCAAGAGAATGGGGGATTTTAGCTTTAGCCCGGAGTCTAGGGCGGAGCACATCATGTAGACAAAAACCTACTACTTAGTATTCAAGTGGAGACGGATAGAAGGATGACCCATTATCCAGAGAATGCAAAAAGTTATAAGCTGAAAAATGGAACAACACACCATAAAACATTATTACAACAAAGCAAAGAAGGATGAAATCTGAGTATACCCATTTAAGTTTTTGGGTTTGAGGGTCTGGTCGTATGATTAAAAATATGGATCCTAAGATGGGTCAAATGGGCGTGAACTAAGTAAATTCGCAATTTATTTTATGGCGAATATGGGTATGCTATCTCAAAAAATACAAAAGTTACTTTACTGAATAATTTTCATAACTAGGATAACAATACAAGGAATTAACTCCAAGAAAATAAGCACACAATGCATAAGTACTAAGAAGCATTAGAGAAAATAAGAATGATGAGCCTCGTAAACCTATAAATTGTTAAAGCAAGACGGCAAACAAACTTAATTCTGTTTTCTGAATAGGGGCAAACAATCCTAGGGGGGGAAATGAAAAATTAAAGAAGAAACTGAACATGACAGAGCAACACTGTATAATGAAACCCGGGATAGGCTTACCTGTAGCAGAGTCCACATCCACTTCTCATAGTCTCTTCGGTTCAGTTTTATGTGGAGGCAATAAGGTGTGTAACCGTTTTTATATTAAATTAAATGGTGAACGTTGGTGACGTTTGGTGTTTTAACTCCTCCCTTAACGTAATTAAACAAGACATTTTGGGGAATAAATTGTTTAATTATTCTTTCGGACTTATTATATTTGTATACAGTCAAAATTGAGGAGTATGATTTTGAAGTCTTAAATCGGGCTATAGGCCCGAATTCGGGAGACTCGGTGTGGGCGTCGTATCCGGCTAAGGGACACCTACCTCGAGGAAGCTAATAGAACGCTTGGTATGGACTGCATCGAGGGCAGCATTATCTCGAAGTCAATCAAGAAAAAGCGGGAACTTCTCAAGGACATGTGGACCTGAGCATTAATTATAGGATAAGGGTTGTACAAAATGGTACAGGTCCGTACTAGGCCGTTATACTCTTGTACCAATAGAATTCTTTATCTTTATGAACAAGGTACTATATTGGAGTTTTCTCCTCCTATATAAAGGGGACCCCAATCATTTTGTAGAGAGATCAGATCATTCACTGCAATAGAATGTTCTTATTCTTCTCTTGTTTAACGTGTTCAGCAACTATTCTTCAGCTTTATTGCCTTTACTTTATTATTCATACTTTATTGGTCCTAGCTGACCTCAAGGTCCCTGGATAGACAAGCTCGAGGCCCCTACTGTTCCGATAATATTGATTTGGTTCATTATTTTTTCTTACTTAAGCTCAATATTACTCATATAATCACTAGTATTAGAATATATCACGTATCTTTAAAACCACAAATTATCTTTAATTGTTAATCACATTTTTTGAGGTAAACAGTTTGGCGTCCACCGTGGGGCTAAAGATAATAGTGATTATTTTAGTGCCAGTTTTCTGATAACACGCGTTATTTTTCACAATTTTGCTTGTCAAAGGTTATTTGATTTCAAGCTTAAATATGTCTAGCACACAAAACGCACCTACTCATGACAGTGAGGGACTTGGAGAAAACAGCGGCATAGGGCTCGGTGTACCACCTGTAATCCCTGAAGGAGTGCAAAACGTGGAGCCAGTTGATATCAGCTCCTACAATGCTCTAAACATGGAGGCACAAACCCCGTAAGGAATGCACACAGGGAAGCCCGAGCCGGAGACCAGGAAACACTTGGACTGGAAGAAGGAGGAGTCAGCCTCCAGGTGATATTCGAGATGCTGCAAGCTCAGCAAGTCACCATCGCAGCTTCAGAGTTAGAACAAGATTCCCAACACCACCGAACCAATAAACATACAGCATGAATCAATGCTTGAAAGGCCCGATGAAAGAGGCTCGGGGACTGACCCTACAATCATGAAAATGCTTGAGGAACTGACTAAAAGAATCGAGTCAAGAGAAAAGAAGATAGAAGACAATGATAAAAAGGTGGAAACTTACAACTCCCGAGTAGACCAAATACCCGGAGCACCTCCAGTTTTGAAGGGCCTTGATGCCAAAAAAAATCATACTCTTTCCCCCCAAGTGCAGCTCCGATGTCCATTCCCAAGAAGTTTCGCATGCCCGATATACCAAAATACAACTAGACAACAGACCCTAACGAACATATTACTTCGTACACTTCTGGAATCAATGGAAATGACTTGAATGATGACAAAATCGAGTCAATATTATTGAAAAAGTTTGGAGAGACACTGTCAAAAGGAGTTATGATTTGGTATCACAACTAAGCTCCAAACTCTATTGATTTAATTGCTATATTGGCGGATGCCTTCGAAAAAGCACACGCCGGGGCCATAAAGGTGGCCACAAGAAAATCAGACGTATTCAAGATAAAACAAAGGGACGACGAAATTCTAAGGGAGTTCATGTCCCGATTTCAGATGAAAAGGATGGAACTACCCCCGGTCTCGGATGATTGGGCAGTTCAGGCCTTTATGCAAGGGTTGAATGAAAGAAACTCGATAGCATCTTGACAACTAAAGTAGAACTTGATCGAGTATCCAGCTGTGACATGGTCGGATGTGCACAATCGGTATTGGTCAAAAATTAAGGTCGAGGATGACCAGTTGGGAGCCCCCTCAGGCTCAGTTCACCCAAACAGGTTCGTAGCCAAGCCCCCGAGGGACATAGACCAGGGATCAAGATTCAACAAGGAAAGGTATCAACCGTACGTCGAAGACAGAAGGAACATTTCAAGTTGTAATGCACCTCGGAATAATCGAAGAGTAGATCGAGAAAGCTCCCGAGGATTCATGGGCAAAACCGGGTCAGATAGGCGTTCGGGACCAGTGGAGGCCCCCAAATTATCAGAATACAATTTTAGTGTCGACGCCTCAAGTATCGTCTCAACTATTGGCAAAATTAAAGATACTAGATGGCCCAAACCCATACAGACAGATCCTTCTCAGATAAATCCCGACGTAATGTGTAAGTACCATGGTACCCATGGGCATAAGACCGAGGATTGAAGACAGCTTAGAGAGGAGGTAGCTCAACTATTCAACGAATGACACCTTCATGAATTCCTCAGTAACAGGGCCAAAAGCCATTTCCGAGAAAGAGATGCAAACAGGAAGAATGAACCCAAAAAACTTCAATATGTCATTCACAGATCATTGGTGGAGCCGACGTCCTACAGGGACATACATTCACACGTACTAAAGTATCCATCACAAAGGAAAAACGGACTCAAAGCTATGTAACCGAGGACGCTCTATCATTCTGTGACAAGGAAGCAAAAGATGTATCCTAACTTCACAACGACGCCCTGGTAATCTCTATCCTTTTGAATAAAATTCAGGTTAAACGTGTTTTAGTGGATCCAGGTAGCTCAGCGAACATAATTAGATCGAGGGTCGTGAAACAACTTGGCCTGCAAGATCAGATTGTACCTGTATCCAGGGTGCTGAATGGCTTCAACATGGCAAGTGAAACAACGAGGGGAGAAATTATCCTGCCTATAAATGTGGCCGGTACCATACAAGATACCAGGTTCCATATCATTGAAAGTGACATGAGGTATAAAGCCCTCATTGGGAGGTCGTGGATACACAATATGAGGGCAGTGCCTTCGATTCTCCATCAGATGATGAAGTTCTCGACAGAAGAAGGAGTGAAAACAGTCCACGGAGAGCAGCATGCTGCAAAAGAGATAATCGCAATCGAGGAAGTGGTGCCGACACCGGAACCCTTGACCTCAAAGACATAGACCTCCAAAGGTAAGCAGGTGGCTAAGTAGTAGTCACAGCTCCGAGCCTCGACGGAAGCGGATAACAGGTAATCAGAGGCGAAAAAAGGAATTCCCCAGATCCTCGAACCCTAATTGTTCCCGAAAAGCCCGATGCTAACAAACCAACCGCTAAAAAGAAAGGTACATCTGGGAACAGGATTAGCCCCCACTCTTAGGAAAAAACTCATTTAGTTTTGTGCTGATAGTATAGATCGCATTGCTTCACCCCGTTTAAATATGACAGGGATTCCGCTCGAAGGATAAACAGGTAAAATAATTAAAGCTTATATTGATGATATGAATGGATAAGTCCATGTGCGCAGAGGACCACTTTAATTCATTTGCAGGAAATAATCAACATTTCGGGGCAATACGACACAAAGCTAAACCTAGAGAAGCATTCCCTCGGAGTTGGGGCGACTGAGTTTCTCGGCCTTCGTGACGTCAAAATAGGGCATCGAAATCATCTCCGACCAGTTCAAGGCCCCCGGAGATATCATGGTCATGGACAGCAAGACCTTAGAGCATTGGTAAAGGAACTTAAAAAACCCATTGAGCCAGTGCAACCATGGGTTGGCACAATGGAAGCTCTCAAAGGCTCGTGCTTTTGAGAACACCCCTTCCTACACAAAGGTCGCAGGTTATAAATCATAATTGCACTCTTTTTCTCTTAGCTCGAACTTTGTCCCAAATGGGTTTTGCCGGCAAGGTTTTTAACGAGGCAACGCCTATATGCTACCCGAGGAACAATCAACAAATATTCAAGGCTTCTTTTCAATCAACCTCGAAAACTGGAGGGCATCACCCTCGGAGGTTACATTTATGGGAATGATATTTCACGATTAAGAGGGTCTCGATAGGAGAACTTTGTAATGGGCTAAACGGTCAAACGAACCGTGTCCATATAGAATAGTCGACCCCCGACAGCAAAACATGTACGCATGTATCGACTATTTGAAGAAGCACTCAGGTTATATCAAAAATACTTTGTATCTCATACAATCTCTACTCTTACAATCCTACGGGAAACGTCTTAAAAGCCAAAATATAGAAGCACCCCGAATACTCGGGGACTGCCATCAAAATTCGAATTAATAAGACCTCAAAGAGGCACCCCTTCGAAACAAAGGCCAAGGCCAATGTTCTCGGGGTTTAACTTCTCGAACAAGTTCAAAAAGTTATCGGGTAACAAGTCTAAGTGACATACCCAAAGGCTACGACCAAATAAAAGACTATGGTCATATAAAGGCTACGACCAAATAATGCGGCTCGGAGACGTCCGACTATTGCTAGAAATTAAAAGGCCTTCAAACACTTCGTAAAAACCGGTTAAATCAGGCTACCCTCGGCAAAAGCTAAATACAAAGGGCTTCGATAAATTCAGCCCTCAAAAATTCCAAGGGCTTCGAAAATTCAGCCCTCAAAAATTCCAAGGGCTTCGATAACATCGGCCCTTGGAAACACCTCAAGAGGTGTTCGATTATGTTTACATAAATAAATCAATAATAAGGTTTCCGATATGTTAGATCTTCGAAAAACCTATGAGTGCAAAAAACATATGCTAAGGCATAATTAAATTTTCACTAAGTCTTTTAAGTCGAAATGAGGGAAAAATTATATAGCCATTCTAAGAGGCCGAATTGGCCTAACTTAAAGAGACTAAGGGCCGATATATAAGAGCCTA